AGTTTATGATGGAGGCCCAAGGTCACATATATAGTATTGAATATGACGGTGGCCTAATGCCATCTATATAGTATTGTAGTATAGTGTATGCTGGCATTGAATATATATACCATAATAGCCAGTCAAGCACACCCACATCAATGTCAACAAAAACATACTGATAAAACATATATAGTATTGAATATCGTATTGAATATCGTATTAAACGTATAATGAATATCTAGCTGACATATTGAATTGAAATAAGTTTCCGTAATAGGCTACCAAAATAAAACAAAATAGAATTAAAATTGTCTGCTCCGTACATAAAACACATTACGCTGTCGCTTTGCCTGCAGGTGTTATGGACTGTGGACGGGCGACCACTGTGAAAAGGACGGTACAGTGATCCTCATCGCCACCATCGTGCCCCTCGGTCTGCTACTATTACTGCTCTGCTGCTGCGCTGGACTATGCTGGGCACTGGCTAGGTATACTTGATCTTGATTAGACATGTGAAGTTTCCACTGTACATTAGCGCATGTGTGAGATTGGTATTTAATTTCGAGTTGCTACTGTTAGAGACGGCATTCATCAGAAGATGATAATTATGATTATAGTTAATTCTCGCGTATGTATATAGTGTAAATGGCTAAGCGCCTACGTCTATATCGTTTGTGCGTTCGTTGGCTTCAGACGAAAGAAGAGGAAGGGACTTTGGTGGGCCGGTTACACTAGCAAACCGGAGAGTAGCATAGCAGAGGCGAAATCTCCATCGCTACTCATCCCACGAGCTCAGGCCGGTGCTGGTGGCGGAGTAAGTACCCAAGCACATCCTGCAAGCAAAAATCACACAGTCTTTAAAAAGCAAAAGCACAAAGCATCACGCGGTATTAATATCATCTAGAATTCGTTCTCACATAAGCTAGTTTTGTAGACCTTACATCTCGAGCCCTATCCCCTTTCTTTATCTGTTTATAATCTCATAGATGCGTTAGATTATGAACATCTAATCCTTGGCTTTTGATGCAATCATTCTGTACAGTTAGACCATCATGTATCTGTGTAGCTTGAGAGACCAGAAGATTTTGTATGATTCGTTGGATCGTACACGAATTAAAAAACGGGTGATTTTTTTCTCGCGAACGCAGGCTCGTCCGAGCAGTCTCATTAGCGGATCCAGCATGATGCAAGAGCAGCAGGCCAGTGCGAGTGCCTACCACGACATGCTCGCGGGCGGGGCGACGGGCTCCGGATTCAGCGGCTCGCCAGGTGGCGCCGGCAGCGACGCGTCGAGCAACGTTCAGCTGTTTATCCCGCATGCGCAACTCCGGGTACGAGCTAGAGTGAAATCGCCGCTATGTGTGCGCGTGTCCGGAGATGGCCTCCCACATATACCTGTGAATACAGCAACTTACATTGCTGGAATTGCAATCGTCCAACATGGGGGATTATCCATTACTATACACCACGCTTGTATTCGAGTCCTTCAATTTAGTTTCACCAAATTACCGTGGAATATATCGTACAAACAAAAAGTATTCATATTTAGCCACATATATCCGGCTACATAATAGAGAGCTAGCGTCTCTTTCTATCATACGAAATTTTCACCGCGGTCTTTGTGTCCATGCAGTCTGGATCAGGCATGGAATCGGGAGGAGGCGGTAGTCCTGAGAGCGGAGGAGCTGGACCTTACGCAAGCGCCGCAGTGTATGGAGCAGGAGCTAGCGGCTACGGAGGAGGAGCCGGTGGCGGTGGATACGACAGGAGAGATACCAACATGGTGGAGACATCGCAGTGAGTATTCACGCTAAGCGTGTGTGAACGCGAGAGTTTAAATAACTATGAATAACTATAAATTATAACTAATAACTAAAAGTAACTATGGATAACTATTAAATAACTATGAAACACAACTTTGTACGATAGTATCTGCGATAATAGAACCGCACGAGGCATCACGCGGCGTGCACAAACACTATTGAATCGTACTCATATCATTGCATTATGATATATGATATATATTATATATACACACATATGTATATATAATCGTAATAGTTTCTTGCCAAGTTTTCTCGCCACGTGTGTTAAACGTCAAAACTTTACTTCATCATAAGTGTATACGGATACCATCTACATAGATACCATATCCTATCTTATTGTTGATTCGTATTCCCGATAGACTTAAGTGTGACATAGAAGTTTGAACACGTACACACTTGGCAATATCGGTAATTCAAAATTTGATGAAAATAAATTCAATTGTGATTGCGTAAGACGCTCATTTCACTACTAAGACAATAGACGTTATAACATCTAACTTTGCACAATACGCGATGGCTTTTCCGCGTGCAACCAACCTATTTAGGGCCGTATAGCCAACGGGGCGGACCAGCCCTCGAATCCTATGCGAACCCAGCTATCAATATTTTTGAATAAAAACAGTAAACAATAATATTTTACCATATTAATTTATTACTTGCCTTGAGGTATTTATTAAAAACTTGTGTTTTTG